GGCGTGGGAATGTTGCACGATTGCCAGACTGGATTGATGAGGTCTTCCCTAACTGGCCTCCAGCGAAGCGCCCTGCTCCTCATGGCCCCACTTCCTACCAAACAACTCCGTACAACCTCAGCTTTGTCATTATGAGCCATGAAATTATGTAGATGCTCTCCGCCACACAGCTTTTCTGCTTTCCAGCTTTTCCCCCAACAGGTACATTTGCCAGTGACAGAAACATACATTAGCATACTTGTTTCAGACACTTAAATGCATGTTATTTACAATTAAACGAAAATGTACTATAGTTACAATTTATGTTAAAATGCTACGCATTGAAATAGCTCGCCTTAAAGGGATACTCCACCCAAAAATGAAAATGCTGTCATCATTTACTCACCCTCAAGTTGTTGCAAACCTGTATGAGTTTCTTTCTTCTGCTGAACACAAAGGAAGATATTTTGAAGAACGATTGACACCATTGACTTCCATAGTATATATTTTTTTTTTTTCTACTATAGAAGGTGCCAAACAACCGTTTGGTTCCAATCGCTCTTCAAAATAATTGTGTTCAGCAGAAGAAAGAAACTCATACAGATTTGCAACAACTTGAGGGTGAGTAAATGATGACAGAATTTTCATTTTGGGGTGGAGTATCCCTTTAAGCTTTTCGTGCTGCATTAATATTATTATTCATTGTGTTTCAATGTATGGTGGTATACAACAAGCCCTCTCTCTTTTTCCGTATCGCTCCCTCTATCAGGCACAAGAAACCCTAGCCGACTGTTACAACCTCAGCCACTTCATTTGACATCTTTCCACATATTGGAACGGTTAGCGGAGACCTAACCCCGTGACCCTGTGACCTCGCCTCCACTCACACACACACACACACACACACACACACACACACACACACACACACACACACACACACACACACACACACACACACACACACACACACACACACACACACACACACACGCACACACACACACACACACACACACACACACACACACACACACACACACACAGCCTGTCTTAGAAAGCCTCCAGGGAGGTCATGGATTAGGCAGGAGCACAGAATACTTTAGGGTTACGCTCTCTTCTTCCACACTAGTGCTCTGGTTGGGGCCATGTTGCATTCGGTCCTCGCAGCACTGGGGGACAGAAGGCCCTTAAACAGACTGGGATAGTTTTGTATAGCCGTCAGAGTGACTTCAGTATTAGATACTGTGTCCTATTTCATGACCAAGTGTTTATGCGATTCTGGACTGTGACTGCATGGAAACTCTTTAGTCTCAAGCAGCTTTGGGGAAAACTGTCTCTCTAAGCCAATGCACAAAAAAAGCGTTTAAAAGCCAGAGGAGGAGATTCTGCAATGACTATGCAAAAGAAGGATTTTAAAGGCATAGTACAGACAAAAAAAAAAACTGGCATCATTCAGTCAACTTCATATGGTTTCAAACCTGATGAAAAATTCACTTTGACCCCTTTCGCAGGCGAAATCCATTCATTTCTATTGGAATCCACACGATCACACATTTTTGCGGTTAAAATTGGCCATGCAGATTTGCCGCGCCAGCCAACAGAAAGCTGTTTGGTTTAAAAGCCAACTTTTCGGTAATGTGGCCGTATTTTAAAGGCTGTGCCAGTCGATGGTTTTCCTGGAACTAAAACTTCCTTACAAAGGATGCAAAAGCAACATCCTAAAAGTAGTCCATGTGACTCTCTCAAGCTACATAATTCAAGTCTTCTAACTTTTGTGTGAGAAATAGATTCGAATTTATATTGTTATTCATTATTCATGTTATTCATGTTTATTATTCAGTTCTCAAGTGAAGACTATAAATTAATGAGTAAAGACCTAAGTTTCAGCCACTTTGTCACAAAGCTGCATGACTACAGAGCACTTGAAATTTAGCATTTGAGCCATTTTTTATGAGGTGATTTTGCATCCATTTTAAAGCTTGACAGCTTCAGTCTGCAATAGCACGGAAAAGAAAGCAAATGATCTATTTCTCTCTCTTTAGTCTAGTAAGCGCACAGTCCTTCTCCAGAGCTCCAGCAGTCTAGCGTTTCTTACCTGAGGTTTTAATACTTAGACTGTGAAATCATCTAGTCACCACCGGCCCCCGACTCCCTAAACTTTGCAGCGCTTCTCGTATGGCAGATCTTTAATATTTATGGTTGTCAGCCGAGGGAGCGGAAGGGGTCTGAGGGGTGGAGGTGTACACTCCTGCTTTCTTCAGCAGTGCTGGCGGTTTAGCAGACAGAGCCCAGGCATGGCCTCCATGTTGAAATGATTAGGACACAGGAAGCTGAACCTGACACTGCTGACACCAGGCCTCAGCGCCACATCCTGACCACAAGACCCTCACTGTGCCGGAGAGCCCTTCGTCATGACAGCCAGACGCTGATTTACACCTTCTGATAAGAGGAACTTGGACATGGAGACGAGGGCTGTGGAAAATTAAACTCTAGCAGAATCATAATGAGAATTTTGAATGTGATCAAAAGTATATGTGTTCTTCAATTGTAGGTAAAAGAGTCACTGTCCTAAAAAAAAAAAAAAAAAAAAAAAAAAATATATATATATATATATATATATATTGATAAGATGTGTTAGTTGTTATAGGTTTCATACAGTGCACATTCAACATCTTATGTCGTATTTTCATCATGTCGGCCACCAGGTGAACCAAAAATGTACGCACCCAAACATATATACTGTACATATACATACATAGATATAAATTAAAAAAATTAAAATTAAATTAAAATGATAAAATAAAATACAACAAATACAATGAAATAAAATCAAATAACAAAACATGACATTAAAATAAATAAAATAAAATAACTAGAATGGCTAATGTTCATTTGATGTTAATAGTGCATCTAAAATCTTTGAAATAAATAAATAAATCACCCTTTTTTTTCTCAGGTACATTCAGAGAAAGGTTTGCGGGACATCGCTGATCTTTACCAACAACACAACAAGAGCAAGTTTAAAGTTGTTAATGTTAGCAGGCCGGTTCTGATCCACTACTCTTCAGCATTCTTATATAACACTGACATAGGCTGTTGGAGAAGGCCTACGCCCTTGGAGAATTTGGGTGTGAATATTTACATGGGGGAAACAAATCTTTCGTCATGCCCCCACTTTTCCTGCCTGTAGTTTTTGTACTATAGAGGTCTAGTGCCATCTAATGGTGTGGGTTAAATTCCATTCATTCATCTGCGCTTGGGTCCAGAATAATGCATGAAGAAAAATGAAATCATTGGCCTTGAAACATACTTTGCTGGACACCATGGCACATTTGCAGTTTAGCTGACTTTTTAAATCTAATATTAATGAACTCTTGAAACTTATTATTACTGGAACTGGGTCTGCAAAAAGAGAAAGTATTAATAAATAAATAAATGTCTTTTATTCCACTGATAAATAATGAAATGCTTTCTGATGAATGCAAGGACATATCCAAATCCTGTCTCAAGTTATGAATTATGTGACAAAATTCAGGTTTCATGGCAACTAGACACCATATTGTAGAATGTTAATAAATGCTTACTTATGTTTCTAAATCTGTGACTTATCCGTTGAGCCTTTTAAAAGAACACTTTAGATCTACTACCATGTATTTTTAACGGAGGGAGTGGGAAAAATATGACAGTTTTTTGTGCAAATGCTATGAGAGAAGTGAAGCTGGGATGACGTGCTGTTTCCATGACAGGGATCATAAGGATGATGCAGGTCTTGCTTTTGCTCCCAGATGCGCGTCTCTTATGATTGTTTTCTTTAATAACACACTGCTACTGTTGCCATCGTGATGGCCGTTGGTTACAGACAGAGCTTGAGCACCACTACCTCATTAACATTTTTAACAGGCCTGTTGTTTGTCTTTCCTAGCCTCTGGTCATAATTATAACAGTCAATTAACCCTCAGAAAAAGGGCATAACCGTGAGGGAGCCAAACTATTAAACAGTGATTCACTAACTTTACTCATATTCACCTCCTCCCGTCTAGCTGGAAAATTACTGCTGGATAATGTGGCAAAACATTTACTTGATAATCAACAATAAGACTTTTCAAAGATTGTATGTTTAATAGATTGTTTGCTTGTTTAAAGATATAATATGCTTATACATTTCTTTATGCTTATACTGTACATTACGTATACAATTCACCTATATATTTGTATATATCTTATGCAGTATTGCTTCTCAAGTGCATTTACTGTATCTTGGTTTTTAGATAGGTTTGAACTGGGAAAGAAATCCCTAAATCCCACTACTAAAACTTGCGTCATCAACAACAAGATTTCTGCAGTGTATATAAATAGAATAGCAAATTCTATTCATGTATTTATCTAGGATGGATAGATAGATTTAAAAACACATTGAGAGAAAAATATGATATGCCTCTTTATTTAAATAGAAGTACAATATGATAAAGTATGCATATACAAATATGCATAACATTTTTTTTTTTTTGCAGACCTCTGTTCTTAATATTGTGCCGGACAGTAGTTATATATATATAAATATCTCATGTAGTTTTCCACTATGTTGATACATAAATTAAAGCTTAGATCAAATCCCTCATCCCACACCACACACACTGGAAACACTTACAGTCTGCTTTGCGGCTTCATTAGCATATTTCTGTATCACAAGCTTTTTCTTTAGAGTCTTTCTTTATCTAACTAATACAAAGGTGAAACTATCTCCACTAAAAGAAGAAAAAAAAAACATGCCTGCCAACTAACTGGAGACCTGGAGAGACATTGAACGACTACGAAGAGTCGGTATGGCATACAAACTCAAGTTAAGAAGAGAAGCGAGGGAATCAATAGTGCAGAATGCAGATTGTGTGAGAGAGCGGTATGCTTCGTGTCATATTCCTGTTCAATTTACAGTAAATAGCCAGAAAGCCAAAAGCACATCACTTTTCACTCTCAGGGGTCTCATTTAATGCTTGCTAAATATGGCAATATCAATTCTTCAAAATAAAGCTTTTTCTTTCCATACAAGAAGCATATTTAGTGGGAAAGACAACTGAGCTTGTTGCTCTGACGGCATTTGAGCAGCTTGAGGAAGGTCTCCATCTTGTGGGCGTCCTTCTTGAAGCAGGTGAGAAGGTTGTAGTCCCTGAGGACAGACTCCAGCACCTCTGGAGATTGTCCATCGTATGGAGCCAGCGCGTGTTCGATGGCGGACGAGGACGTCAGAATTCCTTCATCCAGCATCTGTGGAGAAACCAGCGTGAAGTGATGCACACACACGCACACACACACAAGGCTGCAGCGTGTGAGGTATGTTTTTAGTGTTCACACTGATTTACCTTGCGGATGAGGACCACCACCCCCTGCTCCAGGCTGAGCAGTTTATCAGAAACCCACTTGGTCTTGTTGAGCAGAGCGTCGGGGGCGTCATCGTAACGATCCAGAGTAGTTTGCAGATACAGCAGCGGCTCCATCCACGACTGCACCAGAATCAGGACCGAGTGAAGGAGCCATTTATCCTGCATAAAACACAGTCGAGACGTCAAAGGGATCTAGCTATGAAAAACACTATTTTCATTGATTAAATTTCATTTGTGACATTTGTTCTGCCTTCAGAACTTCTTCAGTAGAAAAGGAGCATTTACAACACTCTCAGAAGAAAAAATACACACTAAATTTTAGAGAAAAGAACCATTTATGCCAAAAAGGGAGAAATGGATGGATGGATGGATGGATGGATGGATGGATGGGATGGCTTGGATGGATGGGTTGTGTGGATGGATGGATGGATGGATGGATGGATGGATGGATGGATGGGATGGGTTGGATGGATGGGTTGTGTGGATGGATGGATGGATGGATGGATGGATGGATGGATGGATGGATGGATGGATGGATGGATGGATGGGTTGTGTGGATGGATGGATGGATGATGGATGGATGGATGGATGATGGATGGATGGGATGGGTTGGATGGATGGGTTGTGTGGATGGATGGATGGATGGATGGATGGGATGGGTTGGATGGATGGGTTGTGTGGATGGATGGATGGATGGATGGATGGATGGATGGATGGATGGGTTGTGTGGATGGATGGATGATGGATGGATGGATGGGATGGGTTGGATGGATGGGTTGTGTGGATGGATGGATGGATGGATGGATGGATGGATGGATGGATGGATGGTTGGATGGATGGGTTCTGTGGATGGATGGATGGATGGGTTGTGTGGATGGATGATGGATGGGTTGTGTGGGTGGATGGATGGATGATGGATGGATGGATGGATGATGGATGGATGGATGGATGGATGGGTTGTGTGGATGGATGGATGGATGGGATGGGATGGGTGGATGGGTTGTGTGGATGGATGGATGGATGAATGGATGGGATGGGATGGATGGATGAGTTGTGTGGATGGATGGATGGATGGATGGTTAGATAGATAGATAGATAGATAGATAGATAGATAGATAGATAGATAGATTGATAGATATATATTCACAGACTCCAAACTTTAAACAGACTAAACATTGTGAATACAGTAGTCAAGCCTTCATAAAGCAGCACAAGCTCCCGGTGAAGGAGAAGTTATGGGAGGTAATCCATTTTTTCAATGTTTTTGCAATGCTTTTTATATACTGTAGCTCCAGATGAATTTTCAGAGACTATAAAATGTCTAAATCAAATGTAAATATGTGTCTCCTTTGGCTGCGTACAGTGGTGGCGTGACCAGACTCTTTAAGCTAAAGCAGTTCGAGGGAAATGTTCAAATCTATATCAGCAGGTGTGGAAAAAAGGAAAGAAAACAGCCTATTTGTTGATGGAGGCAATATAGTTGTATAGAAAGGTTAGTCTCTCAGTTGAAAGAGCTGTCACACAATAGTGCATTAGACGGACAGGACAGCGCTCTGCTAGTGCAGTCTTCCACACAATACCAGTTAAACAGAGCTCATTTGTTCCGAGCTGGAAAACATGGATCCAGTGAACGCTTAAGCGGCGTTGACATGCATGGATGTGGATGCCGTTTAAGAAGATTAACCGGCATATTCTCAACATTTAATGTGGCCTTTCAAGAACAACACCAGCAAAAAAATATATAATAATTCCCCCTAAAAATTTCGTATTTTTTCTTAATCAATATTTTGTCTTATTTCCCAGTCAAAATGGGTTGCCTTGTTTGATATGTATCATATGCCTTTTTGGGGGGGGATATTTCCTTCCTCATTTCCATTTCTAATCAACAAAACACACAACACTGGCATCTCCTCACCGATATCTGCTGAATCTCACTCTTGGAGCTTGGGATCGGGAAGGGCTTGCTGTGGCACATGTTTCCTCCCTGGTTTCTCAAAGCATACAGAGGATACGGGACAAACATCTCCTCCTGTTGGACACACAGGAGCAAGGGATGACTGCATTGTTTGTTGGTTTCAGAGCAGTACCACACACACACACACACCACTTTAGGTGGTAGAAAAGCAGTGATGGGAATAACGGCGTTATAAATAACGCCGTTACTAACGGCATTACTTTTTCCAGTAACGTGTAATCTAATTGATTACTCTTCTCATCTTAATAACGCCGTTACCGTTACTGCCAAAAAATGCGGCGCGTTACTATAACTGATGAAGCTGTTTTTTTTTTTTTTTTCATCAGACCAACTAGATCTCTGCGCGAGAGGCAAATACTTTTTTTACTGTTCTTCCTTGGTTAGTGGGCAGAGCACGAGACAAGCGCATAAATGCTGACGATTGGCTGAGGTAGAGTAAAATGTCATTGTAAGCCAATCAGAGGTAGAGTTGGGCGGGTGTTCGAAAGCACGCATAGTGATGGGCATTCGGCTCTTTTGACTCAGCTCACTGAAAAGAGCAGGCTCTTTTGGCTCACAAACGGCTCTTTAAATGACTTTGACTATAATATTTCAATTTTTATTACATAATTATTTAATTTCTATAGGCTAAATTTGTAAAAAATAGAGTCGGCTCTTCAGATATGCGAGCCAGCTCCCGACGTTCACCTAAAAGAGCCGGCTCTTAGAGTAACTAACTCTTAGAATCGCGAACGACCCATCAAAAGCTCATTCGCGAACGAGTCGATCCATCATCACTAACGCTCATTCGCGAACGACCCATCATCACTAACGTCTAACGCTCATGAATTGCGAACGACCCATCATAACGCATAGTCGGACAGGACAGGACACACAAGGAACAACACAAGCCAGTCAGTCAACGAGAGACAGGTATGGCGACGAGCTTAACAAGCTTAATTTAATTTTGCCCAGTTGTGGCCTGTTGAGGGGCAATAAATATCAAAAGTTCCAAAACATCTATTGTGTTATTTGCATTGATCCACTATATAAACATAATATCTACATACATGGCATTTGATTGGAGGCTAGTCTCACTTTGTCCCACAGCAACATTTTTTTTTTTTTTAGATGTGTGTACAATGTTTCATGTTTCTGTTAATAATGTATTGTATTAAGTGTCCATTTTATTATAATATTCAGATTTATCATAAATAATTGAACATGCACATGTATTGTAAGTTCCGTTAAAGAGGGGTAGAGGTCGGGTCACATTTGAGCATTTAAAATTTAATTTTACTTGAAAGTAACGCAATAGTTACTTTTTTAAGTAACTAGTTACTTTTAAAATTTGTAACTGAGTATCTAATTTAGTTACTTTTTGGCAGAAGTAACTAGTAACTGTAACTAATTACTTTTTAAAAGTAACTTGCCCAACACTGTAGAAAAGCCTTCCTTATAAATATCAGAAGGGGGATTTGAAATGATAAATGAAATTACACCAATGTTCTCTGCATGTTTTCCCGCTGAACAGAGACAATCCACCTAAGAACAGTGAAATGATCTAGCAAGACTGATAGGCATCTCACAGTGTTTATAATGAGTCTGAATTAATGAGACTATAATCTTAATGAATAATCAAAGTCATGCACACAGCCGGCAATAATGAGGCAAGGTTGATTAAATGAGACAGAATAATGACATTAAAAGAAAGAAACTTGCTATCAGTCTGGCTAATAATATCTCAGCTGATGAGATTAAATGAAATTGGTTATCTGATTTTGAATTTTTTAAGAAGAAGAAAAAAACAACAACAACAAGTAACACTTTATTTTGCTGGTCCCCTTTAGACATTCTTGGCTATACGTAACATTGGACCTGTCAACTAACTAACCTGAACCATAACCTAACAATCCACCAATTCTCAACTAATACTCTTATGAGAGTTAGTGGATCCGCAGATGCAAAGTTATAGTCAACAGAATGTCTAAAAGGGACCAACAAAATAAAGTGTGACCAAAAGCATGCATGCAGATTTGCAAAAACGGTAACACTTTACAATAAGGTTTCATTAGTTAACTACATACATAAACTAAGAATGAACTGCACTTATACATGCATATATTAATCTTAGTTGATGTTAGTTTGTAAAATTAATACATTATTAAAATCAAAAGTTGTATTTGTTTACAGTAGTTAATGCACTGTGAACTAACATGAACAAACAATGAACAACTGTATTTTTAACTAATGTTCAGAAAGATTAACAAATACAGTAACAAATGTATTGATCATATAGTTAGTTCATGTTAGTTAAAGGATGTTGCTAATGTTAACAAATGAAACATAGAGTGTTATCACTAGAACTTCATATGCTGTAATAAATCATTTGATATGCTGTAGAGTTAACAGTAAATGTCAATAGACTTTGATTGATTGACAGAGAGGGTTCACTCACAAAAAGAGTGCATGACTCTTCAGACACACGGTAGATGAGCTCTGCATGTTGGATGACACGATCTAGAAGTTTCTCCTGGGAGATTGAAGTACAGTGTGTGAGAGATCCGGTCTCGTCCTTACAGTCCAGAGGAACGGCGTGAGAAACCCAGAAACGCCACAGCGACACACAACACAGCCAGACCTGCAGAACTAAAGAAACACACACACACACACACACACACTGTTTGGAAAGTCTGTAAGGCTAATAAGCCTTAGAAATATTTATTTTCTGTAGATTGCACATTTCATTGCGTATTTGAAATATGTTTAATAAGCAAGCTCTGTTTTCTTTACAAAGCGAATGCATTTCTTCAAGGCTATAGCTCTAGGCAGATTTCTTCGCAAAAAAACAACAACTAATAAAGATCTGGAGTCAATGTACCTTTAACCCTGTTCATTTTGCAGATATGTTTCTATAGCCACTTGCCTGCATTAGAGGCACACACTGCCTTTATATAATATTGTCAGAGATCCATAGATTCATCAGCTCCTGCTTCAGTGTAAGAAGAGACATGGCCTTCTCTTCAGACTCCTTCATATGCAAGCCTTTAACCTGAGGTGTGACCGATACCTCAATGAGTAATGCCACTCAAAATAATCCAGCTTTTTATTAATGAATGGGAAGTTACAAAAAATATAGCTTTCCAAGACACTAGCAACTTATTTATAGTTAAGCTACAGTCAAGCTATACTTTTAAACAGCAGGACAACGCGAAGTTTGTTATAGACTAAGATATCCTTAAACAGTACAGTATTGTAACATATATGTTATGTTTTTATATAAAGACTTATGTTTTTGTTAATAACTATAAATTACTTTTTAAAATAACAATTAAATGTTTAAATGTTTGGGGCCAGAAATTGAAAATTAAAAGCATTTTTATAGTGTAATAACATGTATTACACTGTATTTTTGATCAAATAAATGCAGCCTTGGTGAGCAGAAAAGACTTCTTTAAAACATCTTACTATAAGTGCATATATACACTCACCTAAAGGATTATTAGGAACACCATACTAATACTGTTTTTGACCCCCTTTCGCCTTCAGAACTGCCTTAATTCTACGTGGCATTGATTCAACAAGGTGCTGAAAGCATTCTTTAGAAATGTTGGCCCATATTGATAGGAGAGCGTCTTGCAGTTTATGGAGATTTGTGGGATGCACATCCAGGGCACGAAGCTCCCGTTCCACCACATCCCAAAGATGCTCTATTGGGTTGAGATCTGGTGACTGTGGGGGCCATTTTAGTACAGTGAACTCATTGGCATGTTCAAGAAACCAATTTGAAATGATTCGAGCTTTGTGACATGGTGCATTATCCTGCTGGAAGTAGCCATCAGAGGATGGGTACATGGTGGCCATAAAGGGTGGACATGGTCAGAAACAATGCTCAGGTAGGCCGTGGCATTTAAACGATGCCCAATTGGCACTAAGGGGCCTAAAGTGTGCCAAGAAAACATCCCCCACACCATTACACCACCACCACCAGCCTGCACAGTGGTAACAAGGCATGACGGATCCATGTTCTCATTCTGTTTACGCCAAATTCTGACTCTACCATCTGAATGTCTCAACAGAAATCGAGACTCATCAGACCAGGCAACATTTTTCCAGTCTTCAACTGTCCAATTTTGGTGAGCTCTTGCAAATTGTAGCCTCTTTTTCCTATTTGTAGTGGAGATGAGAGGTAACCGGTGGGGTCTTCTGCTGTTGTAGCCCATCCGCCTCAAGGTTGTGCGTGTTGTGGCTTCACAAATGCTTTGCTGCATACCTCGGTTGTAACGAGTGGTTATTTCAGTCAAAGTTGCTCTTCTATCAGCTTGAATCAGTCGGCCCATTCTCCTCTGACCTCTAGCATCAACAAGGCATTTTCGCCCACAGGACTGCCGCATACTGGATGTTTTCCCCTTTTCACACCATTCTTTGTAAACCCTAGAAATGGTTGTGCGTGGAAATCCCAGTGACTGAGCAGATTGGATTCAGGAGATTGTCTTGACCAGGACCACACCCCTAAATGCATTGAAGCAACTGCCATGTGATTGGTTGATTAGATAATTGCATTAATGAGAAATCGAACAGGTGTTCCTAATAATCCTTTAGGTGAGTGTATATATATATATATATATATATATTAGACAATAAAGTAGGTTAAGTTAATAGTATCATAAGTAAATAATAGCTATTCGCCAACAATGGTTTATATATAATATTCTGTCAGGTCAAGCACAGATAATCATAATAAAGCGTCTGAGCTTCTGTTGCATCTGTTTTGAATTTCCCTGGAATGTTGTATTTGTTTGTTTTTGGTACAAGCTTGAGGTTCTTTTGTATCCTATTATCTGTGGAATGTATCTTTTGTATTTATTAGACAATTCACATGATTCACATTTCTTTAAAGCATTTCTCTTCCGGTCGGGAAGCAGGCGGCCGTGTTCCGGTTGCTGAGATGAGCTGATTTTGTCTCTGTGATATATGAAGTTCTTCAAAGATCTGCTGGTCTGTGTAGATGCTATAGGCTGCCAGCCAAAAGAATCTCTCTCAGAACATAATCCACATCAGGATACTGAAATAACACCGTTGCAGGTGGGCGGCGGACTTCATTAAGTCCTGAATATAGCAATTCTCTTCTCGATTATGCTGATTTGTCCTACATATTTGAGTCCCCAAACCACACAAATGTGTCTTAATCCAATTTGAGCATCAAAAGGGATGGATTGAGTCTGTAGATATTTCAGAATTAAGCCCACTTTGTTGGTCAGATTCACATTATAGCAGAACCAACAGACATTATATCACAGCAGAATAGATGTGTTCGTCTATTTATGCAAACCAACACACCTACTCTATAATAACAGTTTAATACATGTTCAACCATTTTCAGTGCAAAGCCGGAATGTTCCAGAAAATCTTTCAACACAAAAACAGAAAATTCCTTGGCAATAAACATCTTATTATTTGCTAAACTTGTGCTGCTCTTCACTAAATTGATTTTAAATTGTAATTGACATTAAATTGTCCTGTCCTTTGGAACATTTGCAGTGATTTTTCGGGGTCACAGCAGTTCACTTCACAGTGTTGAAAGGGTCTGTCTCAGTGCCAATGAGATCGGGAGGCTGAGAAACAGTAGCTGTCCAAAGACCCACACTGGACGTCAGAAAGCTATTACTTATTCACACATCTTCCTGCAAACACCTGCAGCCCAAATTGTTTTGTCACCTGTCCCACCCAAACCATTCAAACGTCTTAATCTCTTAATCTAGTCTTAATCTTTATCCACGTGTCAATTTTCACCTCATTGCAATGTTTTTTGCTTTGTTTTTTGACTCGGGCAAGAGGTGTGCTGACATAAATACACAAAAAATGTTATATTTAACTGTCTCTTACTTTGTATTTTAGTCTTGCTTTCCAGTACGGATATCTTACAGTACAAACATTCTTAAAGTCCCCCTTTAAAACTCATCTTTGACAATCAAGTTTTCCTGTGAAAGATAATTTCTTCCTGACTTAAAATATCTCAAATGTCACTCTACACCCTTGCTTTATTTAGTATTACGTGAATATGCAAATCAGGCCCCGCCTCCACTCAATCACGCCAGCTCTGCCTGATCCACTCAACTGAGTAAATGCTCCACAATGGCAAGTCGAAATATTGGTTTAACTCAGAAAGGAGAAACTGATTCAAAATGACATGATGTTAAGTCTTTCTGGAATATTTATCAAGATTAGTGACAAAAACATAATATTTTGTCATTTTGCTTGTCAAGTAAATGGATCTTGAATTTAAGAATGTTAGATATTTGTACAGAAACATAAGACAACCTTTTGCATTGTATGCAAATGTAAATACATTGAAATCACAAGTCAATTCATTTCTAAGTCATGAAATATACAATAACCAATAGACAAACACATTATATTTATGTCCAGTAGTTGCTGTACTTGTTTTTGTTAATTTGTAGTTCTCCCTTGTTTTCTCTCAGAAAATAATCATATTCATAAAATCAGTTCACGCTGTGATCAAGTTTTGCCACGTGTATTTATTTTCACTATGAATCCTTTTTTAAAATGAATAAAGCAAAGTAAATATCTTGAACATAAAAAAAATGCAATCAAGTGTAGCAAACTGTGCAATTATTTGATTAGCACCAGCTATTATCTCCACAAAAACAATCAATAACATATTCAAGCGAATAATTACAAGGTCAAACATGTCCTGCATTCACTAAGCTCAAAGTAAAAAGTTCATTCACAAAAGAGATGCAACTTCAAGACCCCCGAGGTTCAAAAAAGGGCCTAATGCCATGCCAACGCCAACGAGACCAGATTGAAACAACAGATCCTGAATTTGAAGGAAAAAAAAGTTCACTAGGTGATCACTAGGTGGCTCCAAACTGTTCAAGTCCGCTCTGCATATGGCATATGCCTTGTTTCAATAGACTAATTACAACAGTTTACTTTACAGTTTAAATTCAAAAGGGAAGAAGTGGATCAGTCACATGACTTCAACGTCACCACCATTGAGCTTCTTTTGTGAAAGCAGCCAGTGAGTACATGAGTTTTCCTGATGATGTTTAATGTCCCAGACAACCTTTGTAGTCTACAAGTAAAAGTGCATTTCATGTCGTATAATTAAACATGAATATGTCTTGAACTTTTCAGACATTTAACCAAATTTCAGACATTTAACCAACAACCCATTGACTTTATGACGATGGAACCGTAAGTGCTAAAATTCAAATGGCCTACAAAAATTACGTCATCCCTACAGCACTCTATTATGCAACATATAAGGCTTATAAGCATATGCTCAGATCAAGGTGTAAACTAATCCGGTACCACCCTTCAGTTCAATAGGACACATTGTTGGTGGGATACAGCCAATATACCTAAGAGAATTTCCGGCGACGCTGTCAGCTTTGTTAGGCCATAATTCAGTACCAATTAAAAATCTACTTCAAGACTTCGTCCCAAACAAACAAATACATAAATAAATCTTAGCTTCATACAAACCCCTATTCAAACTAATTTAACCCATGGTTCATGGACAATGAACTGCCAATGTGAACCCGTGACACTAGATTTGGGGAGAAGGAGTTTATCAAATCAGCCTTTTTAAGCGCTCCCAGTAGATAAAGTCTGGCCCGGGCTAATTCGTGTCAAGGAACGGGCGACATGCCCTCTCCAGATGAAGGGTGCAAAGAGACTGGAGTGCGGAGCCACTTTAGCCCTGAAGAGAGCCGCAATTGCAGAACACACATGAATATTTATTATTCCCCGACGTTCATGGCCAATTACTGCACAGCTTCCTCTCTTTCCTTCCTATGTTTGATTGACATGCTAACTAATCAATCTGAGTGCTATCAGCTTTATAATTAAGCTTCATTGGGGGTTGAATATAGTGT